GTGTTATTAATAGCAGAAGAAGATGTTACAGTATAGCTTGATAGAATATTGGAAAAATAGAAAAGCAGAACACAAATGACAAATCATTGAATTAATACCAAAAAGACATCCATCATTTTTCCTTCTCAGACATGTGAACCAAAGGCAAATGTCACAAATATCAATGTTCATTCTGAAACATTTAAATGAAAATATTGCCATTTAATGCTTTAAGGAGGAAATGACACTGTGAAATAAAATCAAGGGAAAATGAATCATTAGGTCTTGGTTTTGGAGTCAGTGGCTGAGGAGAGCATGTTGCCTTCAACAAGCCCGGATGGAGAGCATGTTGCCTTCAACGTTGCACAAATGGGCCGGGCACGGTGGCTTAGGCCTGTAACCCCAGCACTTTGAGAGACCGAGGCTGGCCGATCACCTGAGATCAGGAGTTCGAGACCAGCCTGGCCAACATGGGGAAATCCTGTCTCAACTAAAAATGCAAAAATTAGCTAGGCATGGTGGCACACACTTGTAATCCCAGCTACTCAGGAGGCTGAGGCAGGAGAATCACTTGAACCTGCGAGGCGGAGATTGCGGTGAGCCGAGATCATGCCACTGCGCTGCAGCCTGGGCAATGAGAGCGAGACGACCATATGTCCAACACGTAAAGTTATACATTGAGCTCCATACTGTTACATAGAACATGTTTTGTCCTCCTACCTTGGCAAACAGTGCTTCATAAGGACATGGAATACAAGGTTTGACTTCAGAACTCGGGTTCCTCTGTGTGACGTACCAGAATGTCACCTCTCAAGGAGAACCAGCCTCCACTCCCCCAGCCTGTGACCCTGCCCTTTCTCTTCTCACTCTTGGCTGCCTCCTGCTTGGAGAGGTGATTAATGATGGGTGGACATCCCGGCTTCACATTTAAGTTCCACTGCAGCCCTCCAGCCCCTCAGAAGCCCGCTTGACCCTTCAGAAGGTGGACCCTGGAAAGAGGCAGGCAAGGGTGCTGGAAGTGGGCTTGGGACTGTAGGAGTATATCATTCCAGGGTCCCAGGTACTGGAGGGTGTGGTGTAGAAGGAGGTGCATGGGTTCTGGGGGACATGGCCCCTTGGCCCCTTGGAATCATCACCTAGTGGTGACCAGTCTGGCTGGGGAAGGGCAGAGAGCATCTTCTAGAAAATGGCACTGGGGCCAGGGTCTCCTCTGCCAGCATTTACAGGAAGGATTGATGTGACAGGAGGTAGGAGGCAGGAAGGCATGACAGTAAGCTGAGATTGGGAATGTTCTCTTCCCCCACCTCCTTCCCAACCTTTCTTGATCCTCCTCAAATAACACCCACTCTTCAATTATTCGTGCTCAGACACCTGGACTGTCTCCTGTATCACATCATCAAAACTCCTCTGCCTAGCATTTCAGGTTTGTGTCATTTGCCTTTTGTTCACCTTTCTGAAGGGGCAAGGGGATGGATGCTGTTTAAAATGAACTCAATTAGTTTTTTTGTTCAGTTTCCTGTTTTTCCAGTGGCCTTATCAAGCCAAGACACTGTAATTTTTAAAAATGTTTCAACAGAGATATCCTTAAAATGATCTACGTGATCTGACCCCTGAGTTTAATCTTCCTGACTTCATCTCCCACTTCCGTCCCCTTTGGTTTTGAGAGTGTGACTGGATCTGCAACCTTAACTTGTGCACACATCGCTCCCTCCAGGACGCCCAAGCACATTCATAACAGACACAGCCAGGCAGACCTGGTCACTAGCAGAACTTCCACATCCTTCCTACATTGGTTTGCTGGGGCTCCCATTACAAGACACCACAGCCTGGGTGGTTTAAACAACAGAAATGTCTTTTCTCGCAGTTTTGGAGGCTAAAAGTTCAAGATCAAGCTGTTGGCAGCTTTGATTTCTCCTGAGGCCTCTCTCCTTGGCTTGCAGATGACTGCCTTCTCGCTGTGTCCTCACATGGCCTTTCCTCTGCACACGCACAAGCCTGGTGTCTCTCCCTTTTAAAAGGACACTGGTCGTACTGGATTAGGACCCACTCTAAAGGCCTCATTTGAGCATAATGACCTCTCTAAACACCCTCTCTCCAAATACAGTCACATTCTGACGTTCTGGAGATTAGGACTTCCAGATAAGCATTTTAAAGGGAGAAGAATCCATCCCATAATACTTTCCTACTTGTGTTAGGCCATTCTCATATTGCTATAAAGACATACCTGAGGCTGGGTAATCTATAAAGAAAAGAGTTTTAATGGTCTCGTGGTTCTGCAGGCTGTACAGGAAGCAGCATCAGCTTCTGGAGAGGTCTCAGGGAACTTACAATCATGGTGGAAGGTAAACAAGGAGAGAAGTGTCAAAAACGGCGGGAACAGGAGAAAGACAAAGGGGCCGGGGGAGACGCTACACACTGTTAAACAACCAGATCTCATGAGAACACCTTCACTATTGCCACGACAGTACCAAGGGGGATGGTGTTAAACTATTCAGGAGAAACCACCCCCGTGATCCAATCACCTCCCACCAGGCCCCACCTCCAACATTAGGGATTATAATTCGACCTGAGATTTGATGGGGACACAGACCCAGTCTAGATCACTACTTAAAGGAGATGTTTAAAATAACATCAACAAGTAAGGGAAGGAATGCTCATGAAAAATGCCCCGGAATGAAGAAAGGAAAGACTGGACACATAAAAAAAAGTCATACACTTAACCCTTTCATTCCTGGGGCTTTGAACTGCATACTTTCATGGAGACACACAAAGAAGGGGGGCACAGAGGCCAATGGCTAAGAGTGACCAGAAGGGGGGGATCCTGTGGCTCATCCTCAGCACCTCCAAATCCAATAAATATGTATTCATATTTCTTTCTGACTTTTGTTATAAGTTTCATGCCTTAAGGTACTTGCTTTCCTGAGCCTCTGTAATACCATTCTCTTATGGCACCAGCACTATTTCTTACCACCCACCTCACAAGTTCGTTTTCTGGCAATCTTCAGTCCATTCACAGCACAAGGCTCCATCCTTTACTATCTGTCCTTGTCATTCTAGGTACTTTCCCTGGGTCTCCCAATGTTATATGGCTTCAACTGCAACTTTGATGCAAATGGTTCCTAGCTCTGTCCTTAGCATTGATGTACCCATGACACATCACCCACTTGGATGAAACATGGGACCTTCACACTCAGCACTTCCAAAGTCAGATTCATCACCTGCCTCCCCTAACCCGCTCCCTGTTCTCTATTCTATGTTATCAACATCAGTACCAGCCAGAAAGCCCAGAGCCAAAGTGTGCATCTCCTTCTCACTGAGTCCCACCCTTAGACATTCACCAACACATATTGATTCTCTTTTTGTTATCATTTACGTTTCATCCCTCCCTCTCCACATCCGTGCTTTTGTTTCTGATTTTGTTGTCCAGACAATTGCACTTTCTTCTTGCCTTCTTTCTGCTCACCTTCTCTCTATTCATTTTTTTCTAAATATTTAAAAAACATTGGCCAGGCACAATGGCTCATTTCTGTAATCCCAGCACTTTGGGAGGCCAAGGCAGGAGAGTCTCGTGAGTCCAGGAGTTTGAGACCAGCCTCGTCAACATAGCAGGATACTATGTCTATAAAAAAATAAAAACGAAAAAGAAAAACATTAAATATACAAGAATTCACAATTTTGTTGGTCACATTTGATTTAATTCTTATCAAATAAAACATAAATTAAACTTTGTGAAGTGAACAACTAATTTGTCTCGCCAAAGTTATTCCATTATCTTTTGAAGCAACTACTATATTGTAAACTTTAAATTAATTTTTGTAACAGTTACATGTCTGTATTTTTTGTATCCAGAACAAGCAACACATACTACTGTTTTCAATGTATATAAATGGTATTATGTATATATTCAATGTCGTTTTAAATTTTATCATTTTAATTTAAGATTTATCCTTGTCCATGTATGTGTGTATACAAAGTATATATATGATGTGTCTGTGTGTATGTATGTCACATATTTATATGTCTGTCTATCCATCTATCTAGAATACTGGTTCACTCTACTTCTAAATGTAGTCTGACACATACAAATATCACAATTAATTATTGATTTCTCTGCTGAATATTTACATTTTTTTCCAATGAACATCATTGTACTTGTTTCCTTGTACACATATGCGAAATTTTTCTTTGATTGTATACTTGGAAGTATATTTTCTGGGTCATTTTATGACTTAGAAAAATGTATGTGAGTGTGTGTGTGAGAGAGACAGACAGAGAGAGAGAGAGAGAGATGACACTTGGGGACTGAAGCTGGTGTTAAAAGGTGTAGGGACCACACCAGGTCCTCCTCCCTTCCATGTCTGCCCTGGGCCCAGGACCTCCCTGGTGGCATCCCTGATTCTCTCTGTATGGCCTCTCCATTCCCTTCTGTCTTCCTCCTGGCTCCGTTCGCTGTTGCACTTCTGTTTCATCACCACGGTAGCTCTTCAGAGTCATGGCTCACTACTGCCCAGCCTCTATCTCATAGCACTTCCGAGACTCTGACCCCTCCATTGACTCAATCTCTCTCTGTTGATTTATTTAAACTCTTTGGAACCACCATGCAGTAGTCTTGTTCATTTTCTGAACCAGGCTTTAGTGATGGTTGCTCAATCTCTCTCTGTTGATTTATTTAAACTCTTTGGAACCACCATGCAGTCGGCTTGTCTATTTTCAGAACAAGGCTTTAGTGATGGGTGCTGTCCTCCTGTGGCTGCTACGAATTGGAGATGGGCTGGGGGCTTGGGTGCTGCCATGCAATCTTCATGCCAGCAGGGCCATGGGTGAGAGGAAGCTTGCCTTAGAGGGAGGGGTGACAATGGCCAGAATTCTAAGTCTGGTCTGTCCACTACACTCCTATTTTCCCCCAGAACTTAGCCACAGCATCTCTTCAGGACACATTCCTGACCTCCCCGTCTGATTCAGATGATCACTTTTATTTCACGACCCCACATACAACTCTAAGATCATGTAAATTACCGTGATCTGTTCTTTCTGATAGATGTCAGTCAGCTTGATAGCAGGAACCACATCTTGCCTGGCTTTGCTCAGGCCCCAGCACAGCATCTGAAACACATTAGATGATTAATAAATGAAACAGGTCGAGTGGATAAAAAATGCCCCAGATACTAGAATAGTCAGGGAACGCTTTATTGTTGAATTGGATCTTGCACAGGTCCCTACATTTAATCAGATTACACTGAACTTTTTCAAGCTTATCAGATTGTTTTCCCTTAATTTCAGGCAGGCTGACCTCAATCTCATGGCAAACTGAGCACATGTTTCTCTGACCCTTTCTGTGAGCTCTTTGCTCCATCTTCGCTCTCTCCAATCACTCCCACTTCCCTACAGACCTTTCCACATACACAATTTTAAAATTTTCCCCAGGTTTCTAGATCTGTCCAAATTCTACCCAAGGGTGCAGGGCCCTTGAAGCCAAGTGGAAAACAAAAACTCAAAAGAGCGTCAAAGAAGTCTTGAATCTGGGATAGTCAACTAAGAGTGTTGGAACAAAGGAAGAGATGGTGAAAGGGTAGAGAGTTTGCAGTCGGGATCATGGAGGAGGTGGTGCCGTAGACACAGGGCAGGGCATGATAGAAGGAGAGGCTGCAGCAGGTGAAGAACTGATTAGTGGAGGAGAGGAAGGTAGGGAAGGGAGGCCAGGGGATTGGAGAGGGCATTTGTGGTCACTGACTCACCAAGGAGCCTCATGAGGATAGCACTGAACAGTGTGTGTCAAGGAAGAGGTGCTAACCTTATTGAGACATGAGAGGAGCTCAACTTAGTGATGCATAAAGGGACGTGGCAAGGAGGGGTGGTGGGTGGTAGTCTGAGAATGTGAGGACTGTAGAGGGGAGAGGAAACATGGTCTTTAGTCACTATGAGGAGCACACCCAAAACCAATGTGGGATGTGGAGAGGAAGCAGCTGCCCCATCGAGGGGCCATAAGAAGCAGTGGCCTCAGAGCAGCAAAACACTAAAGGGACCCATCAGAGGGGTGGCTGAGGATACAGGGATTTTACCTAAAACTGGCTGTGATCCCAAAGGGTGTGTTGGCAGCGTTTCAAAAGTCGAGGGTGATGGAAGGTGGGGTCAGGGTGGCAGAGGGGCCTCACATGTTGGGGTGACATGGAGTCTAGGTCTTCCTGTGGATATGGAGTCACACGGGAGAAAGGGCACAAGGAGATGCCTCCGATGGCCTCAAGACAGTCAGTGCTTGCGAAGCTTCAGGGCTGGGGTCAGGGAACGGGGTTATTTTCGGAGACGTGCAGAACTTTGAGGTGTCCCGTTCGTACCTAACAGTGGCTGGGAGGAAGCCAAGAGTGTGGGAGTCTGGACTCCCTGGGTCGATGTCAGCTAGGCTGAGACTGGCGGCCCGTGAGAACCAGGATCTGGCTGGAGGCACCTGCATCATTACGATGGCTGTGCTCACCTTTCCCCCTTTCTCTCTCTTCTCGTAACCCACCCCAGGTGTGACTGGCCCTGCCCTCTGCTCCAACCTGGAAGCTTTCACAGGCCTCCTGGTATTGCCTGGGGATCTGGGGATGGAAAATTCCCGAGGCTTCCAGGTCAGGTCGGCAAGAGGGTTGCTCCCTGTCCTCCAGCACAAGAGAATTCACTGCACACCACTCCACTCTCCTCTTGTCCTCGGGCCCTTGTATCTTCCCCCAGGACTCCCTCATTTAGCACATTCCATCACTAGATTTTACTTTTGGTCAGTGTCAGTACAGTGTCCATTTATTTCACAATTTCACTGAGAATTGCCAACCAACTTCGCCTCTTTTTAGAAAAAAAAAAAAAAGTCTATTTTTACAAAGACATGGAATGAACCCAGGTGCCCATCAGCAGCAGACTGGATAAAGAAAGTGTGGTTCAAATACACCATGGACTACTACACAGCCATAAAAAAGAACGAAATCATGTCCTTTGCCACAATGTGGATGCAGTGGCGGCCATTATCCTAAGCGAATTAATGCAGGAACAGAAACCCAAATACTGCATGTTCTCACTTTTAAGTGGGAGCTAGACATTGGATACACATGAACATAAAGGTGGCAACAATAGACACTGGGGACTCCAAAATGGGGTAAGGAAGGAGGGAGGCAAGCATTGTAAAACTATTGGCCAGGCGTGGTGGCTCACGCCTGTAATCCCAGAACTTCGGGAGGCCAAGGTGAGTGGATCACCTGAGGTCAGGACTTCGAGACCAGCCTGGCCAACACGGTGAAACGCTGTCTCTACTAAAAATATGAAAATTAGCTGGGCATGGTGGCGGGCGCCTGTAATCCAAGCTACTTGGGAGGCTTTGGCAGGAGACTAGCTTGAACCCAGGAGGTGGAGGTTGCAGTGAGCCGAGATCGTGCCGCTGCGCTTCAGCCTGGGCGACAAGAGCAAGACGCCATTAGAAAAAAAAAAAAAAGGTATTGAGTATTATGCTCACTTCCTATGTGACAGGATCACCCACACCCTAAACCTCAGCAACATGCAATATACCCAGATAACAAACCGGCACATGTACTCCCAGAATCGAAAATAACAGTTTTTAAGGCTAATTTTGTAACCATTTAAAAATTGAAAACAAAATATAATGGATAAGTTAATGTCGCTATGCTTATTTTACAACCTAATTATCATAATTAGAATTTAAATTTCCTACAAGTGACTCCAATTCAACTGTTAGCCATGGGAAATGCCATTTTACAAGGCAGTAAACTCTAGCAGAAAAAAAAAAGCCAGCGTTGAAACAGTTTTTCCTTTTTACACAGGTCCTGGGTCAGATTTTTAACTGCATAGAACCTTAATAGTTTCCATCTACATGTGTTCATTCACCCAATGGTTACAGCTATGCCTTGTTCAGGGACAGGACCATGTCTCTTCCCAAAAGCTGAGCTGTGCTGGTGAGCAAAATGCTGAGGGGATCTGACTTTACTCACTCCACAACCCCATCAACCCCCAGAACTCTCTGGAAGCAGGCTGAGATCCAATACGGAGCCACATCGTCCTGGGAGTATTCCCAGGATCTAGTCCAGGATTGCAGTGGAAAGAGTCCAAGGATGTTAAGGCTAAGATCAGACAAGGATGCTCTGGGAAGTCAGGTTCTGCATGTTAGCACGCAAGCCACAAATCTTGTAGCTTTCCTCCCTGAAAACTACAGTGGCCCCTTTGAGCTCTCTCCTTAGAAGATAGATCCACACCTGTCAGGCACAATGTGGCTCTGTTGAAGGTTAATGCTGAGAGCCTTAACCCCATCATCCTTCAGAGATAAAGCAGAAGCTGCCTCTGATCATCTGAGCTGGCAGGTGCTTCCTCAAGGAGCCCTGTGGAAAGTCACGATTCCTACACCTGGTCCCATTGTGTCCTGTGGCTCTCAGCAGTAAATGACTTTGTCTAAGATTACATTCAAAAAAGAGTTAAATTCCTGAGTGAGGAAAATTAAAAGCCACCTCAAGTATTGCTCTTGTCAAGGATTTGTATCATGGGCTGAAAGGCCACATTCTGCACCAAGAGATTAAGGGACTCACAGGGACAGCAGTGCTGGAGGTCTTGCAAGAGGCTGGAGGCCTGAGGAAGTTGGTGCCACTTCACTTACAGGATGTTAGAGCCAACAAGAGGAGAACTCACAGCCTGCGCGGACTCCACGCGGTGGGAGGGGCTGGTACAGATGTGTGGAGAACTGAGAGACCATCTGGGCAGTGCAGATGGGCTTAATTCTTCCTTGACCTTCTGCCATTTGCAAGACAACCTGTTGTTCCAAGATTCTTTGTGATGTCCTCTGTACTTGCCCGGTTGGCCATCCTTGCTACTTTGATAGAGGCATCAGTTCTTCTCTCTGCCATCCTCTTAGGATCTTGTTTTTCTCCAAAGTGGTCACAGAAATTTGAACTTCAGTAGCCAACCGTGACTGAACTGTTAATATAAGTGAACTTAAAAATGTGACTTTCTTATCCCTCTGGGGGATCTTCAAGCTCATCCCTGGAGAAGTCTGAGAAAGGTTACAGAATCATCAGGAGAGAAGGCCAAAATGTCACATCCATCGGGTTCCAGGTACTACCTATGATGGCATTACCAAAAAGCTTATGCATAACAATCAGAGGTCGTTTTAAAAGGTGAGCCAGTCAGAGAGGGAACTGTCTTTGGTGCCAATGCACACAACCTTGGAGGCAATGGTGCCCCCAATCTACTGCTTCCTTTTGAAGGTCTGTAGGCTGAATATGACAGTTACTGTCTTTTGTGTCCCCACAAAATCCATGTTGGTTTTGTAGTAACCCCCCTGGATGACCTGCACAGTTATCATGGTGTGAGCAGACATGAGGCAGTCTTCATCATCTATCAAGCTGGACCTGAGCTCCTAAGTTGTTCCTCTGCATTCATTAAAGGCTCGGTTTTCACCAGCATCTTCACACGGTTTTATTTATTTATTTGCTGCCTTAAAAAACTACACCCAAACCCAATGGCATGAATCATTAGTGATACATCTCTTCTTATGATTTTGTAGGTCCACCACATAGCTCTTCTGTTTCATGTGATGTTAGCTGGAGCATTGGGATGTCTGGAAGTTTCCAAGTGTCCTCACTAGCTTGGATAAATGCTGGTTGGGAGCTCAACTGGGGCTTGACTGATAAGGCCTTTGATTCTCTTCTAGTGGATCTTGCTACGTGACTGATAGGGCTTCCTCTCATCATGGCAACAAGGAGTGAGAAGCTTAAAGGGCAGGAGGAGTTGACTGTTGCTCAATGTTGTATATGTCTTGACTCCTTTCCATTCCCATTGGGCCTAAACTTTGGAAACTCAAAAGGTAAAAGCTAAAACTAGGTTAGCTTGCACCTTTTTCTTTTTGGTGGTGGTGGTTGGGGAGATGAGGGGGCCCAGAGAAAAAGGAAGTATCCGTTTAAAGAAATTAGTTAGTGACATTTCACAAAAGGACATCCCATTATGCTTATTTTAACACTACATAGGTTTTGCATAATATCTTGTTTCGTTGTTATGCAGATTTTTCACCCTTGGTCTAAGCTTCTTAACTTTCTGTAATTACATCTGCCATTTAACACACACAGCAGGATGTGTCTGCAATAATTATTTCTGAAATCTATTAATTTAGGTAAAACTGAATACTTTTTTTAAAATAACAAGAATAGTATATTGCATTTTTGTAAAAGCATTTGTTCTACATATCTGGTAGGCAGAATAATGACCTCCCCAAAGATGTCCATATCCTAATCCCCAGAACCTGTGCATATGTTATTTTATGTGGCAAATGGGGCTTGTGGAGGTGATTAAAGTTAAGGACCTTGGGAAGGGAAGATGATCCTGGATTACCTATGTGTGCTCAATGTAATCAAAGGAGTCCTCTTAAGTGCGGGAACCTTTCCTTAGGTACGCTCAGAGAAATAGACCTTTGGAAGTAGGTCAGAGAGATGCTCCGATTCCTGGCTTTGAGAAGAGGCTACAACCCAAGAAATAAAGGAGGCTTCTAGAAGCTAGAAAATGCAAAGAAATCCATTTGCCCCTAGAATCTCCAGAAAGGAAGATAGCCCTGAAGACACCTAGATTTTAACCCAAAGAGACCCACATCAGACTTGTGGCCTACAGAACCACAAGGTAATGCATTTGTTTTGTTTTCAGCCACAAACTTTTTGCAATCTTCTATCAGTTTGCTCATGAATTCTCACTTAGTAGCCTCTGATGTGTGTTTCTGAAGCTTATTTCCCGGGGATTGCATTTTCTCTCCTTGACTTGTTTCTGATGAGACCAGGATGCCTTGTAGCTTTTGCTTGGCTTTTCCTGAGCACTGGGGCCTTGCCATCAGCTTCTTGGCATTCGTCTGTGCTGTCCTCACAGCAGCCTGAGTGATCCTTTCCAACACGTCTTGTCACAGTTTTCCTTGCTCAGAGCTGCCTGTGGCTTCCCGTCTTGCTCTGAATAATGCCAAGTCCTTTCTGTCATCTGCAAGGCCCGTCATGAGCTGGTCCCTGTACCCTCTCTGACTCACCTCCATTCCTTTCTCACCTCCTTCTGCCACCACAACCAGGCTGGCCTCCTTGATTTCCATCATCACTTGAAGAAAGTGCCCCCTCAGGGCATAATACCTGCTTTACCACTGCCTGCAGGGCTCTGTTCTCAATAGCTCTGGTGTCTGTTCACTGATTCTTTTAGATCTCTGCTCAAACGCCTCTTTTCAGAAAGGTCTCCTTGTCACTCTACATAAATGGTCACTCTATCATCTATGATTTACTTTTTTTTCTTTAAAGAAATTATCATCACCTGTCATACTTCATATATGGAATACATAATGTCATACTATATTTATATAATGCCTATATATGGACTTATACATGTATATAGACACAAATATAGACATTATGTAAAGTATAATATAATGTATTATATACAAGAAAAATATAGTATAAATAACATATATACTATACATATATACATATTATATATGCTGTATATATACACTCTATAATATATACTATGTTATATATGCTATATATAGTGTGCATACAACATATATACTGTATATATTATATATAGTAGAATATATAATATTACATATAGTATAGTATATATAGTATACTACATTATAATATATAGTATTATAGTATTCTATATAGTATATATAGTATTCTATATAGTATAGTATTCTATACTATATTATATATAATATACAATAGTAACATAATATACTATATATCATACTAATGTAATGTACTATACTAGTACCTATAATATACTATATATAATATATAAATATAATACTATATAACAGTATTATATTTATGTTATAGTATTAATATAGTATATACACTATATGTAATACAGAGTATATATAGCATATACTATATAATATATGTATATATTGTCTATATAATATATACCATATAATATATGCATATGTATATATTGTCTATATAGTATACACTATATAGAATGCTATACTGTACATATATAACCTATAGTGTATATGATGTCATATTACATATATAATAAAGAAACAGACGCACATGTATAAGTGGATTTGCATTTATTTGTTGATGAATTGTTTCTACCCAGTAAGAATTTAAGCTCCATGATGGCAGGGACTTTTTTTTTTACTCTGAATCTTTATTGCACATCCTAAGTGTTCAGTAAATATTTGGTGAATGAAATATGTTGTAATGAATATATAAATAACAGTAAAACTTAGTATTTTTCCAGTTAAACAGCATGTATGCATCTGTGTATTCCTATGTGTCCATAAAAAGCAATGTTTTGAAATACGAGGGCCAGAAGATGCCTGCCTTAGAAAAACCTAAGGATCTTGTTTAAAATGCCTATTTTGGGGCAGAGACACTGAGTCTGAACGCCTGCGGATGGGTTCTAAAATCTGCTTTGATAGCAAAGTCCTCATGTGATGCTCTCACCAAGGCATGAGATCCAGTGGCCCGTGAAGTCCTATGAAAGAATGGATACAAGAGAAATGCAGATTACTGTATTCCCTCCAAGACTTTACTTCCTTGTTTTGATGGAGAGATAGCATGTCACCTAGAATAACGCAGGAAAAAATCACCAGAACCAAACGATATCACACAAACAAAATACATCAGTTGTGGTGTATTGTGATTATGATCAGCCCTTCTTTACACAAATTTTAAGAGGCTCCAAGTCTCCTGGGTTTACACAATCAGTGTTATAATTGGGCAGCAGTGCTCTTTGTCATTTCCCAGGCTCTGAAAATTAGATAACTTTAAAAACATCCACAGCAGCAGAAACCACAGCGATAAAACTAACGACAATTTTCTCTCCTTCTGAGAAGAGTTCCCTTTCTTTGGGTCTTCTGTTTAGCCCTAGGTGGGATTTTTTGGACATTTACTATGTATCTAGTTCTGTTGCCATTTATGGTGTTAACTCATTTAAACATCACAGCAACTCACTGAGGCAGGTACTGTTGTTATCATCCGCCATTTACAGAAGAACACACAGCATAGAAAGCTACTACATAGATCCTGAAGTAATAAATCACATTGAGTCAAGGCACTTACATAATGGGAAAAAACCCACAATTTCCATAGAAGAAAATCATTTCAAGTTATTTTGGGACCAAGGACAAAAAGGGTTCAGACAGGGGAATTATGGAGAGATGAACATTTAAGCTGGATATTAAAATTTTATAGGAATTGTAGACTCAGAAATGATGTGTGGAGAACAAAATGGGCTGTGAGGAGCAGGGGGAAGGCATTCCAGGCAGAACGATCCTCAACAGTGTATCCATGCAAAAGTTGGCATCTGGACCCTTGAGTGGGAAGCATTAGTGCCCACCAGGATTTGGGGTTTCAAGGGTGTTAACACTTCGCTGGACTTGAGGCCTTGCCTTGAACTCTTGAGTTTCTCTGTTCACCAATGGGATCCATTGGGCTGGTCCCAATTCCCAACTTAGCCCAGACATTGACCACAAAGCATAGGAACAAGATTTTAGTGAAAGTTCTTAAATGCCATATGTTATACAGCAAATTAACTCAGGAGTGAGGTCCATACCTCCGCTCCTGGGCCCTAGAACAGGATTTGAAGCTGTGCCTTCTGGATGATGCCTTCAAGTCTCCTGTTACCTGGAGAAAGAGAGCAGCAGAGCTCAGAAACCCAGCTCGGCAGGGCTGCAGATCGAAATGCCTCCTCTTCTGACAGTATTTTCATACACCCTCAAGATTAAGAATCCCCCCCGCTCTTTTTTTCTAACTGCACTGTTTCTTTTCTCTCTTGGTTTCATTTTCGATCTGAAAAAACAAACATTGGATCTTGTGAGAATCAGCTAAGTTACTGCTTTGTCCTTGGGTTGAGAAAGCTGGGGAGAAATTCACTAAGGACTAATTTAAATAATTTCCCACTTTAGACCCTCACTGAAGAGTATTAGAAACATCTAGTTTGAGAAGGATTTGTATCCTTTCATCATAAAGAACAGTTTCTTCACTTTATACTTGTTAGGAAAAAAAAAAATTTTTCTGGAATGTAAATAACAGAATCCTACATAGAAAAGGGATTAAAGAGTGGGATAGAGTAGGGTGGGGTGGGCTACAGGGTGGAAATATTATGTTAGGAGAGAGAAAGGAGGGGGATAAAATATTATCCATAAAGTTGGGCTCTCCATCTGGGACTGATGGAAGAAGAAATTTGCCTACCTTCATTGTGCACGATTTTAAGTCCTGGTACCCAAAGGCAAAGCATCTTTGTGGGGTGTGCTCCATATCATTAACCCCAGTCATGCACGGCATTTTTCCTGGGGATAATTTCCTCTCCTAGTCTATCAATGTCAAAAATGAAATATTTAGAGTCTGTAGCTATTCTACAAGAAAGCTACATGAAACATTGTAGCTTCTTAATTTAAATGACTGATCACCCTCAATTACCTAATTCAGGCCCCACATGGGCCTTTGTTGTAGGATGCCCTGTCACAAGCCTTGTCTCTTGTTCGTCTCTCCATAATTCCCCTGTCTGAACCCTTTTTGTCCTTGGTCCCAAAATAACTTGAAATGATTTTCTTCTATGGAAATTGTGGGTTTTTTCCCAGCCTTTGTTAACTATGTAATTCCCGACTTCCTTTCTTCCTACTTTCTTCTTTCTTTATGCAATGTAAGCTATATGTACCTGGGGTAATATTAAAGTTTTACTGGGAGTACAAAATAAGGGTATGTGGCATGCAAAAACCAAGCTCAACCATATGTAAACAAAGTCATCCTAAGTTATATTTGATAAAAGGGTGGATATAGACTATGAATGCCCAAGTTCAGAGACCAGGATAAAGCTAAGGAAGGGAATAACCTTTAGGGGGTGCTCAAGATGGGAGGTTGGTTGAGACAAGGCTTGTGACAGGGCATCCTACAACAGTCTGGGGAGGATACATGGGCCTTCCAGCAGGGAGGCAGCCAACCACATCAAGGTGCATCCCCACAGGGCAGTGCACATCCTGTAGATCATGCCATTGTGTGCACTTGGTTTTCTAGTATGCTTTCACTTCCAACAGCCAGCACCTGCACCTCTTTGAGTCCTGCCCCTGGGCCAGTGCTGACTTCTGTGAAGCTTGCAGAGTCTGCTTTCTGCACACATAGGTGACCTTATCCAATGACTCTGGGTGCTGGAGTATAAGTACTCCAGTTCTCTTCCCCCTAATTGGGACAGTTTGATGTGGGAACTGCTCTACCTCCAGAGCTCTCCTGTGAGGTTGAAGCAAACTCACCTTCTTGGGGACTTTGCCTGGTAACTCAGCCTTGCTTACCTCACTTCCCATTCCTGTTCCACATCCCCACTCACCTACCAGTTTTTCCTGGTAGCACATTCTGAAAAATCACTTTCACATGAATCCTTGTTTCAGAGTCCATGTGCTTCTAGGGAACCCAACCAGAATGCCTGGCAGGCATGTCCCAGTCAAGACAGGTGAGCCAGATTACTATAGCTCAGTGATACTAGCTTTTCAGGTCATTTCATCTCCTCCACACCCACACTTTGATTCCATGATCACAACAGCTTCCAACTATAAATCTTCTTCTCAGGTAGTTTTTCTACAAAGAGAGAAGGCAGGAAGAACATTTCTAGCTCACTTTGGCAGTTTTATTTCACAGTGTACATTTGGAGCGCTGGATTATAGATTAGTCTCTCAAGTGCCATCAATGCAACTCTGGCCCCAAGTGTCAGACCACGCCTGGGAAATTGACAAGTCATATTTTAAAACCTGCAAAAGCTGAGACGTTTTAGAACCACATCAGGTGTCACCTTGAGAGAACTTGTTTGGAAACCACTTGGCTTTCCTTGGTAGTTTCTCTATTGGATTGCTCCGTAGTCACCAGAAGCTGCAGTGCTTGAATCTCCTGGCCAGGCAGAGTTCAAAACATGAGTAGTAAATGTTTCCCTCTTCTCCATGAGAGGGGTCCTCTCCTTAATTGCTATCATTTTGATGTTTGTCCCTTCCACAACTCATGTTGAAATTTAATTCTTGTTGTAGGAGTATAAAGAGGTAGGACCCTTAAGAGGTGGTTAGGCCACAGGGCTCTACTCTCATGGGTGGAAGTGGTGCCTTATAAAAGGGCAAGTTCCACCCCATCTTGCCTTCTTGCCTTCCACCGTGTGAGGATGCAGCACAGACGCTTGCACCAGATACTAGCACCTTGGTCTTGAACTTCCCAGCCTCCAGAACTGTGAGACAATAAATTTCTCTTTGTAATAAATCACCCAGTCTCAATATTCTGTTAGAGCATCATAAAATGAGCTTGGGCACCTATTCTGAGAAGTGGGCAACTTATTCAGTCAGAATTTTTAGAGATAGACCCAAACACTGGGGTCAAGTTTCTTGGCTTGTGTGTTTTTGTTTGTTTGTTTCTTTGCAACCTTTGCCTTCTCAGTTCAAGTGATCCTGGTGCCTCAGCCTCCCGAGTAGCTGGGATTATAGGCATGCACCACAACACCTGGCTAATTTTTTCTATTTTCAGTAGAGATAGGGTTTTACCATGTTGGCCAGGCTGGTCTCGAACTTCTGGCCTCAAGTGATCCTCCCGCATCAGCCTCCCAAAGTGCGGGGATTACAGGCATGAGCTGCTGCACCCAGCTCTTTGTTTGCTTTTTGAGACAAGGTCCCCGCTCAGTCACCCAGGCTGGAGTGACAGTGGTATGTTCTCTGCTCACTGCAATCTCCACCCACTGGGGTCAAGCAATCCCACCTCAGCCTCCTAGTAGCTGGGAAAGTTCCTTGGTTTATCGCGTCATTCATAAAATTCCTTACTTACATTCTGTGAGCTCTAACAGTTGTGGATTAAGAAGAGAAACACAAGTCTGTTCTTGCGGATGCATTGAAAGTACGAAGTAAACACACAAATACAGAAATCTGGAACATGCTTGACTTTGTCTCTCCACAACAGGCAGAATCCCAGTCTAATCTTTTGCTTCTGTGCAAAATTAGTATATAGGAAATGCTTTCTTTTAAGAAGGCTTAAATTTTGATTAATAAGTTCCCTCTAAGATCTTTAAAGAGATTGATTATAATGATTAAAAAGTGTTTATAAGTCATATTATCTCATATGTTTATATATATATAAACATACATGTATGTTTATAAATCATATTACTATATTTTCCCAAATATACTTTGCTTCACAAGAATCTTCGTTGAGTGGAAGGTACTATAAGTTTCATTCGGTTTTTCCATTTCTGTACAGAGGTGCCAAATTCCTGTGCAGCATTTAATTCCCTTACTTTCCTCTTAACCATCCGTTACAAACTGGTGCCCAGGTGAGGTCGTTCCCATGACTGAGAATGTGGGCTCATCAGCTGTCAACTGTCAGTCTAGAGAGACCAGCACTGAAGGAGGAAGCTGTCCTCAGCTATCGTGCTGAGCAAGGTCTCAACCTTTCTGACAAAGGTTTGAAGTTTTGCTTTCTCGGCCTCTGCTTTTTGAGCTACACAATTCATGAACAGACAGCCGGCTTCCCCCTGCACTTCTGGGCTGGAACCACTGAGGGATGCTGCTGTACTGAGTTCCACCCTGGAGATACAAAACTGAAAGCTGGGAGAAATCAATGGTGATGAAATCACTCCCCTCTGTGTGTCTTTCCATTTCAGGTGACTGTTTTTCAGTGAAAACTCCAGACACTGACAACCATCATCTACAACCTGCCTCTTTCAGAGCCAGGTCAGAGGCCAGGGCAGGTGGGAGAAATGCTTTTTATTCTGCGGAGCTGTCTGTGCTGTGGAAAGAGATGCCAGAAATAGACCTGGGAAAAATAGGAGAATGGGGACGTAGCAGATGCTTGGAGCCGTTTCTCTTGATAAATATATCTGTCCACTTCCCACTCTTGTCCGTGTCGCGGAAGGCCATTAGCACTTTATTTCTGTCTCTGCGGAGGCTCCGGGCCTGGCCCACCCTACCTCCCCTCCTGGAAGATGATCTCAAGAGGGCAGGACTCCTGGGATGAAGGTCTGACATCATGAGTTATTTTTATCCCAGTGGATTGCAATATCATAACAGCACATATCTTGTGGCCCCAGTGCTGACAAAGAAGAGACATTATCTCAAAGGTAAACTCCTTGATCTCAAAATGCCTCCCAAGGTATGCTATTTAAAGCCATTGCAAAATGAGTAACAAAAATAGACACATCTTGAGTGTGGCCTGGAGAACAATGTTTTCCAGTTTCCAAGTCACCACAAGAAGGCCTTAGGAAAAGACAGTCATATGTCTAGATGAGGTAGGCAGCCACTTGGCTAGATTAGAACTGAGGGCCAAGAAAGGTGTCCTATCACTCCAGATCTATGCAAAGCTATCCTCTCTGCTTTCCTTACTCTAAAAAACTCTCTTACTGTGGATTCTTTTGGGTTCCATTTTGCTCTAAGAGGGGAAGCTAAGTAATGCATGAAGCTGCAGCAACACCTAAGCATGATCCCTAACTGGAGAGCTGTGGATTTGAATGCAGTAAAAGGAAGAGAGTTAAAGGACAATGCAAACTATAGGATCCAGCAAGAGGCCACTCAACAACTGGCAGTATTTGGAGAAGGTTGACGTAAATACCAGAAAATACCTGGAGCACCAAGTGGACACAAAAGACAAACTTCAGGCAACAGAGCTTCATGAAGCTGAACCTTGTGGAATTCTCAGTTTGGTTGGCCAGAACTGGTCAAAAACCAGCTCTGGAGTCAAGCAATCCTGAAGATAAGTTGGACCTGGCAGTAGTGGTGAGTGGCCGTCCTGCAATCCAGGACTGCCAGCTTTGGAACTCTTAGAATATAGTGCCTGTGTTTATCACCCTTCTCAGGCATCTGGGTGTCATCTCACATCCTTTAAACTCAGTGGGTTTTGGTGTCAATTATTCTTAGCCTCTTTTCTCTTTAACACACCTAACAGATGACACTTCCATGCAAGACACCTTCATCAGTAATGTGGCCACAGTGTTGGCAGTTACACAACTAAAAGAGGTGAGATGTCCTGAGTTGCTCTAATTCCATCTTTCTTGTCCTGAGTTGCCCCAATTCCATCTTTCTTGTCAGATTACTCTGTGGTGTGGAGAGAGAAAGCATTTAAAAACAGCTGGTGTAGAAGATCAGGAATATGAAACAGTCTTTAGGAGCAAGGTTTTACTGGGAAAATTTATCAGCCTCTCTACCACAGGTCAATAAAAACTGACATTAAAATCTAATTGGGTTGGGCTTAATCTGAAAGTCTCTGTGAGACAGAATCATGGGTCTTGTCGTTTGCATGGAGATTCGCTCAAATAGATCATGGTACA